AAATCCCTGAAAATATGATCAGAATAGAGAGACAGAGACCAAGCAGCAGCACAGAGAGCACAAATGAAATTCAGGGACCCGTTGGGCAGTGTCCTGGCTTCCACCTCTCCTCTGGAGTCTGAGAGAAGGACTGGAGGATAAAGGAGGTCACAGGTGGCTTTTGAGACTCAGCTCTGGAAGAATCTTCTTGGCCTATTTACTGTGTGGTTGCTTTTTTATTCAGCTTTTTTTGCTTTCCGTTTCCTTGTGCCTTCATTTAGCTCCTCTTTTGACTTTGCAGGAGGAGGTGGAGGGTGGGAAACCTCGTGGGAGGCCCCGTGCTGATCATGATGGTGGCTACTGTGTCCACTGGAAACCGAGCCAAAGAAAACTGGGCAGATGCAGTTTTCCACTGGAGCAAAAGGTGAGGCATGAGAGTGAGTTGCTGTCATGAAAACCTGCCAGGAAACAGTGAATACTTCAAGTTAGAGATCACATATGCCAGCTATGAAATACTAACTAGTGAGGGGCATTCCACTTGCCCCAGATAAATGTCCCTATTGGTATGTGACTCAAAACTGTATCACAAGGACCTTGTACTGCTCAGGTGATGGAGAATTTAGCCTATAATTTCCTGAGCAGATCTTCCCAGTCCCCTCAGGAGTGGCTCAGGAAGGTAGAACCCCTTAGCAGGTAGCAAACCTGTTGTGAACTTACCTTGCAAACTATCATGAACATGGTGAAAAAGAAGATGAGGTTGGCTTCGGAGATAGGGAGCCAATGAGTTTGTTGCAGAGTGAAGAGGATTGTGCCGTACAGACTAGCCTTTGTAGGGCTAGAAGAGAAAGAAAAAAGTTTTCCTGAAGGTTTGCACCCAGTCCCGAAATTTTTGGTCTGACAGAGAATTTACAGGCTACCTACTTACAAGGACATACGAAGAACTTCGTTTGTTTCTGGCTTCCAGACCCCACGCAGCAGTTGCTCAAAGTTAGACAACAAGGCAACACCAGAACCTGTGAAACAGTAAAAGTGAGCAGCCAGAACTGCCACACCAGAGGAGAGCTCTGCTGCCTTTTCTACGTCCCCAAGGGATAAGGATAACTTAAGGGGAACAAAAGTTTCATGCCATTCTTCCCAAATATAAAAGAAGTTAGCCTAAAACAACAGAGCAGAGCAAGCACTTTCTAGACCCTGTAAAGTGTTTCCTGATGAAGGGAAAGGGCATTTGTCTCTGTTCCATTTCCTGATGCTCAAATGCTTGCTCCAAACAAAAGCTAAAGGCAAACTGACCAGGCTGTTTCAGTTCCAGTAGAAACCCCCTGAAAAGATAGACCAGAGACAATAGAACACAGGAGAAAGAATAAAGAATTCCTGAATTCTAACCCCATATTTGATAGTGACTCCAGTTCATGCCTTTTTAAAGTCAGATGATGACTCAACTGACAACCATTCTGCGAGTAGGAATAAATACCTGTGTTCTAGGGAACTGAGTGCCTGAAGCCACCTGGGCCACATCCTCCCTCCAGCCTGCTCAGCACCGAGCCATGTGGCCACCTTAAACCTCATTCACAGATTCTCCTGTCCCTCCTTGGGGGGCTGGGGACCTCCTGGCTGCATTAAGAGTATCTGGTGTCTCACCTTTGACCCAGCCAGTAGCCATCATGATGAACCACCCGTGGTGGTAACGGTGATGAGCATGGTGGACCCCAGCTGCAATTTTGCGAACTCTGACCACCTCCTTCATTGCCACAAAGATGAGCTTCATGGGCAGAAAGCTAACACACTTGTAGAAGAGGTTCATGGGACAGAAGAATATCAAATACCTGGAACAAAACCATGAAAAGTTTAAGGACCCATTTGTTTGTCCTGATCTGGGACGCATAGAGAGGATTAAGAGTGCTGTGGTGTCACCCTGAATTATGTCAGAAGAAGGAAACGCCGGTTCTGTCGTGCCAAAGCATATACAACCCTTATGCACTGAGGAAATTAAACTTGGAGTAGCTGTGGTTAATTTGTGCACGTTTCACTAACACGATGAAGAAAGTGCCCCCAAAGGTGCCCCTCTGCTGCTCTCAGCGGTATCAGTCGGTGCAAGCTGCTCCGGCGGTTTGGCTGCAATTCAGCCACGGGGGCTATGAATAGAAATGCCCAGTGACAGGACTGGCCCACACAATCAAAGCACTGGACAACTGCTCCAAGAAACCCCAGCCTAGATCTAGGAATGCAAAAGGCTCAGAGACTACCTCACCCCACCTCTTCTTTCCCCAGATAATCTGAGCAAGGTGCCTCGCGCTTAATAAATCGGGTGAAGTGCAAAAAGACTCACCAGACGGCGGTGGCCAGGATGACACTGGAGTTATTGCTGAAGTAATCAATAGGTGATTCTCCAAGTAAGAGATCAGCAAGTATGTAACTTCCGAAGCAGTGGAGCATAGCACAGAGCCAGGAGGCAAAAGGGCTCTTACGAGACATCTCCACGGCTCCTGTGAAGCAAATTCGACATGAGAAGGCGGATTCAGCAAATAAACTGAAACTTCAAGACCCTCCAAGAAAGAGGCTGGTGGTGCATGTTCTCCATCAAAACACGTCAAAGAAAAGTGCTTGTAAAACAAAACTTAAAAATGTATATTCTGTGGAGCCTGAACAAGTACCAGATACTGTCAAGAAGTGCTATGTATGCTCGGAGCTTGCAGCCCCCCCGTAAGGTTTCATATAAACCATGTCATTAGAAGTTTAAGAATTGGCTAAGAGTTTCTCTCCTGTATTTGCTGCTACTCACTGCAATCAGAAAGAACATTTTTTCCCTTTGAAATCAGTGTCTTTTTACAGTCTAAAAATAAAATGCATACTAGTACCATTCTCTCCATTGCTTCAACCTAGGTGCCCTCTAGAATTCATGAACAATCTGTTCAGCTCTTTCATTCATAAGATAACCTGTAAAAATAGAACAGTGATTCTTAAATCTTTAGTTGAGGATTCTTCCCTGCTCCTGTACTAGTTTGGAAATGCCCTTTGAAAATGTAACTATATATTAAAACAGTGTTACTATTTGGTAATACATTATGGTCCCCTCCCACAACCTTTTATTGCCTTTTTTTTTTTTATTCCTCTAGCCATTTTCATCCACCTCTGTACGTCTTCAAGGAAGTGTCTCAAGAACATCAATTCCGTCAGATTGTTTCATCACCTTAAACTGCTCCAGAGTCCTTCATGCAGTGTTTCAGACACCAAAATCTGCTCAGCAAGCCAGTAACAGGGAGTCAAAAGAGAGAATGCTAAAACGTTATGTCAGCAATACTAACAGTGGCCTTAAATAGCAGTAAGTGAATCAGCATATGCTGAAACTCCGACTGCTCAGCCTCTTCCATCCTCAAAGGCATCTGAACCAGCTGAAAACACAGTGGAAGGGAGACAGCTGCGACAGCCATGATATGTAGCTGGTCCTCTACGAACCCGAAGTTCAGCTTGAGGCTTAAATTTAGTAACACTTGTTTTAATTTGGCTGGGCGAAGCCATGCTGTCTCCAAGGAGGAAACAGGACATCGCTGTCCTGACACGGATCTTCAGCGCAGGAGCCGTGGGATGAAGCAGTGTAGGAATCTAGTGGAAAGTACACCCCGGCCTTACCCAGTCCAAGTGGATTAATGGGCGTACATATTTTTAAAAGCTATTTTAAAAGCCTCGAAAACCCAGCACTTCTGTTTGCGTGGAGTTTAAATAGAGCGTACGGCCCGGAGATCTGACAACTGCAGCATTTCACAATGACACCAAAGGGGATTTCTGTTTTCCCCTCAGTTATTGGACAACTACACCGAAACTGTTCGAAACAGAGCATGAAGAGTGCACGTGCTCTCAAAATACAGAGAGGAGACGGCGTTTGGAAAAGGCGCAGAAAGTGAAAGGTAAGATGCAGATCTACCGAAGTTTACCAGATAAGCCCTGGAGAACAAACAAAGCGAGGTCAGTTAAGGTGTCTGAGAACAGATTAGGGCATGGCCTGGAAGGTGGGAAACAAACAGGTTTTGCTTACAGCCTTTTTGTATATAAATAGGAGAAGAGCAAGAGCGTTGCCACAAAAATAGAAAAGCCAAGCAGCTGGGCAGAAATATAACGCGGAGTCCTGGGACCTCCCGCAAAGCTGTGACTGAACTTAAATATTCCAGTGTGGTTGGAATCCAATCTTAAATAAAATGCAAGATTATTTTTCAAAATCAGAGTGACTAGTTTGGGGGCTTTTTTTTTTTTTTTTTTTCCCTGCTTTATATTTAAACACATGTGTCAGAACCTCTGGAAAAAGTAACGCAGAGCAGTTCTGAGCCCCGAATCCCCTCACACCGCTGACAGCCGAGACTGACGGTGGAGAACGAGCGGGATTTACCTCATCCTGCATCAAAAATGTAAAGGTTTATACCTCAGAAATCCTCTCAGGAATGTGGCTGCT